GCAATTTGGGAATAAATGGCCCTACACCTATCCCAATAGTTGGCAACTTTGCGAGTTATTTCTATAATTACCAAGCAATGCCAGACCTTAATTGGAGCGTGAAATACGGCAAAATATACGGGTAACTATTATATTAACTTTTAAAATCTTTACGATATAAATTTATTTTTATATGCTTTTCCGTTACTATATTTAATTTAATAAAAAGCTACTTCATGGGCAACGTACCGATATTATCAATTTGTGATTTATCCCTGGTAAAACGCATACTAATCACCGATTTCCACGTGTTTAACGATCGATCAAAACGAATACCATCCAATGGGGCGTTTGTTATCCAGGCCATATGGGGCGAGGTTGACTTCGACGCATCTAGGTCAATATTAAGTCCCGCGCACACCGGGTCTAAGTTGCGTCAAATATACCCGACAGTCGACACCAGACTCCAGGCGCTCGACACTCACTTGTCGGCGTTGATGGGCACCGATAGCGCGGTGGTCGACGTGGCCCGCCTATGGCGAGCGTTCACGTGCGACGTCTACCCCGCGTGCGGCCTATCGCTGGACACGCGACCGTACGACGCTCCCGAAAACACGTTGGCCGCACACGTGCGCCGATTCGTGCAAATCGATATCCGCAAGGATTTAGTGTCCCTGGCGTTACCAGCATTCGCCGCCAAGTGGCCCAAAATAAGCGACTATCGTGTAATGACCTATCTCATTGAAATGTACCGTGAATATTTAATTAAGCGGCGACGTGGTAATATGAGCAAGGGGAAATATGTGGATTTTTTAGAGTTAACCACGGGCAATATGGGTGTACATGATGTTGGAAATGATGATGATAAAGTTTCTGCCGGAGAAACCTCGACGTCTGCCAACACAAATATGAATGGTTTGTATACGTAATAAAATGACATAGTACGAATTTTATCCAAATTAGTTAGGTTAGGTAGGAGTTTATGTAATGATATGTGAGTGAAACGCAATAGTGGTCAGTTTAGATTGACTAAAAATAATTTATGTAAATACAGTGTGTTTCAACTATAGCTGGTAGAGGTTCAGGCTCATATCTCAAAACTACATGTAATAGCTTAAAAATCTAAACCGGGTCTTATAGTTAAGGGTATGGTAAATTTCTTGACGTATCGATCATTACCGAGGTCCTATTATTAATATTAATGCCATAGGCAATCTTGCAGACCAGGAATTGAGGTAAATCTAAAAGAGCTAGGAAGAAAGGTTTAATAGCAAATTTGTAAAAAAGTTATGAATTATCATACGTATTATAGAGCACTACAATAATCCAAGTGGTTCTGGCATAAATAATGTTTTAAATTCAAGAATATCTGTTAATTTCTATGGAAAATACAATAGAAAATATTTCAAATATCAATTACAGGACAAGGAATTGTAGCTAGGTAAAAACATTCAATATAAAGAATAACGAGATTTCTATAAGCTTTCAAATAAGGTATCGCCCATTAAAATCGTATATTTATTTCTCAGGCAATTATCAATTAATATAATTTCATATTTTAATAAATAATCTATTATACAGTCGGTCAAGTGAATCTGCAACGATCGTTTGTTTAATAGCTCGCTTATTACTTGTAACTAAAATCTGTACTCTGGCACATTTAAAGTTCATTATGAGGTAGCCCTGAAAAAACAAGAATATTCTGTATGTCCTCAAGAATATTCTGTGATATTGGATGATTTGCTGGACCCATAGTCAGCGCNAAGAATATTCTGTATGTCCTCAAGAATATTCTGTGATATTGGATGATTTGCTGGACCCATAGTCAGCGCAAAGATTACTAATGTTAAAAATTATATGGAGTAAGGGTATGGTAGAGGGGATACTATATTTCAATAATATCAAAAAATAATTAAAAATATATCGCATGCCTTCTTACAGTTTAACTTTGAAAATTGTCAATTCCGCCATAGACACCCATATGTTTGGAAAATAATATAAAATATTTGAAAATGTTTTATGCCTATCTTAAGCGCAATTAAATTCTAATATGTATAGAACAAAAAATTATTTTTTTATATTAAGATTTACAGGTTTTATAAATTATTTTATAAATCCAAAAAGTGCATTATTCACTCTTTTTATGAGTGTTTTTGTATTTTTAAAACTCTTAATAAACCCCTAAAAGTTAATTTTTTAGAAATTTTTTGTTCTATACATATTAGAATTTAATGACTTCTATGCCAAGTTATCATTTCTTAAAAGTGATCAATTTCGAAATACAAATTTTATTTAGATATTTCAGCTTATATTATTTTCCTGTACTAGGAGTATTGAATTTTAATAAATTGTAATATTTAAATTCTAGCAACACACACTAGTTTTATATATGGTCAATAATATTGAAAAGTGATAAATACTGTATTTATAAAAATGATAAAATGGCATTGTTTAATGATAAATGTTTATTAATATAAAAATGTTTTTATGGGCATACCGTTGTTTCCAATTTTTAATTTTTAAATATTTTGTATTATGATTTATATTTTTAATAATAAAATTACAGTTTGTGTCAGTTTTATAATCAATAATGTATTGCTATTTACTAAATTAATATAGATCAAATATAATACTACAGTAGCAATAAATTGTAGGTTTATTTATGGTAAGTAATAATATAAACAAAATATGTTATAAATAAAATTTGGTATCGATGATATTGAATGACCATTGTTCATTATATCACAATTTGACTATATTTTAGAAAAATTACTTGAATTTAAAGATTAATTTTATTATTATGAAAACAGAATTAATGAATTGACTGGTGTATTATGTATAAAATTAATATTTCTAGGATATTTCATAAAACTTACTAGTTTGTCTAAAAAAGGTTGTGAAAGATTTTTTAAATTTTAAAATCTGATTTATCATTTAAAAATAGTCTTTTGTTACTTTTAAAGTAATGTTTTCTCAAATCGTTAATATTTCGTAAAACGAAATTAAAACGATTAATGATGAGTTTTAATTTTATAAGATATATTCAACTTATCATAAATTAATTAAATACAATAAAAACTAATTATAAATTTATATCTTATAAATAACCTAATAAGCAAAGCAAAAAAATTTTAAAAATTATACAATGTATTAATACATGTATAATATTTAAAATAAATGCTATTCCAATTAACTCAATAATTACTATACATTAAATATGATTAAAGCATTGTAAATATTAACTTACCATGCGTGTATGAGATAGGTTATCAACATTATGTTTACACAGTACTCGTTCACTTGAATTTCCTTGAATTTCACACAATATATAAATGCGAGAAAACTTACATAACTTATATAATATTGATAAATAGGTTACTTTAATTTAAATTTATATTCATTTTAAATTAATTAATTTTTTCAAAATGTTAGAAATACTAGATTTAATGATTAATTATTCATGTACAAAGTGGTTATTAATATGTGTCGCGTTTATATTAACCACCCTGTATACAATACAAAAGTAAATTAAAATCATAATTTATTAATTAACTAGGTACTAATTAAAATTACATTTTACTACAGATACCGTGACTCGCAATGTGATTATTGGCATAAACAAGGTGTCAAAACTGGTCACATAAGCTTTTACACCCGGTATATGAAGCACTGGTACGACTGGGAACGGGATCTGTGCCGCAAAAACGGAAAGGTATTCGGAATCTATGAGAACACAAAACCCGTACTCTTTCTGTCGGATCCCGATTTGATTCGCGATGTTTTGGTCAAAGACTTTCATGTGTTTCATAACCGCAGGGTATGTCGTCTTTGTATTATATTGTATTTATCGATACAATAATCATGAAGTGAATGTTCAGTGTAGTTTTATGAATTTTATGTGTTTTAGAATTAGATAAAATTACATTAAACTGTATTATTATTGTATTTTCATTTAATATACAAAAAATATTTTGTTTAGCAAGTCCAAATTAATTTTTTTTATATTAAACAAATCATAATAGGATTATCAGCGCATAAAAGTAATTTTAAGCTAATATAAATAATAGCAATTATATTATTAATAATCATGAATGTAGTAATAAGAAAATTATAATATATACAGAAATATATAAATTATAACTGTAAAATCTTTAGTTATATAATATACAACGGTAAAATATATTTTATTTTAAATATTATACTACATTATA